ACTTTATATACTCTTCACTTGTCATTTAAAGTTTCAAAGGAGAAGTCTTTTTTTTTTTTTGTAAGTGACTTTCTTTGTATGCTTAAATACTTGAAAAGTTTTAGACTTTATTTTTGAAAATGTCTAACTTTACTAAGGGATAATTTTTGTTTGTTTGTTTTTTGGTTTTTTGGCTACTTGATATTAGGAAAATTTACCAAAATAAACAAAAGTGTTCTCTACATCTACAGAATTCATTTTTAATTTTTATTTATTTTTTTTTTAGTTTTTTGGCGGACACAACATCTTTGTTTGTATGTGGTGCTGAGGATCGAACCTGGGCAGCACACATGCCAGGAGAGCGCGCTAACCGCTTGAGCCACATCCCCAGCTCCATCTACAGAATTCTAAGGAATCTATGTGCAACTTCTATCCAGCCTCAACTATTGTTCATAAAGTCGTTTTTGGTTTATTATCCTCCTCTGTTTTCTTAGCTGGTATACTAAAACAAAGTCCAGATATCATATTATTTCACTCCTCAACATTTCATTGTGAATTTCAAAATATACAGGACAATTTCTTACATGACCACAGATCATTGTAACAATTAACAATAGTTATTACCTGATATTATTAAGCATTTATTAATTTTAATATCATCAAATATTCAATATTATAACATTCAGTCCTTATTCAAATTCTCAAAATTGATATATTGTCAACAAAATGTCTTATTATGTTTGGTTGAATTGAGTTTCAAATGAGATTCATATTTATATTTTTTCATATCTCTTAAGTTTCTTCTTAAACTCTAATATCAAACACCTCCTCTTCATTTAGTTTTTTTATGCTTTATATGTTGAAGAAACTGAGTTCATCTCATGATCTCAGTTTTGCTGGTTCTTTACTCCTGGTGTGATTTAACTTAGTTCTCTAACTCTTATAATTACTCTAGGCTGGGAGGTAATACAGAGACTTGCTTAAGTTCAGGATCAAATTTCATCTTGAATGGAGTAGTTTCACACAGCATTACCTAAGTCTGGCTGTCTCAGTTTTAGAAATAGAGACTTGGGGTTCAGAGGTTGACAAGCTGTTTCCCTTATTGTATAAATCTCCATCTCCATCTCATCTCATAGTTTTTCATCTAATAGTATAATGATCCCGGTCTAAAATTGTTACTCTATAGGAATTGTAAATGGTGAATTTTTTTTGGGGGGGTGGTAATTTCCTTTGCATGTGTTAGCAGTTTTCATGCAGAAAAACTCATTCACTGAGAATATTTGGTTCTTCTGAAACAGTTCAGGCTGCAAAAGCAGGATAAATGGCCAGTTCTTTTCCTTTCATTGTCAGATCTCAGAGCAATGAATTTATGCCTTAGCAACTTGTAATATTGTGCAAGGAGTTAAGTTTTATTTCTTATTCTTTTTTATTTGTTTATTAGTTTTAATCAGTTATACATGACAGTAGGAAGTTCTTTGATTCATTCTATTTATTCTCTTTTTAATATCACTAATAACTCAAATATATTTTTTATACCTTCCATGATTTTAAACAATTACAGTCAATATTCTCATTGAATAGTGTCACATCTTTTGCCATGGGAACCCATCAACCGACTGTGTATACTTCAACATGATCCCATTAGCCTCTGATAACTGCCTTGTTTTTGTGCCAACGAGTGTTCCAGAATTTTTTAATTCATTTCCGAAACCAGTTTTAGGTTCTTTTTAAAGAAGAATGGTATTTAGATCCACTGGTAGCATGTCCTATCAATGGTCAGAACTACAAAATATATGTATTTTTTTTTTAAGGAAGGAAAACCAGGCTCTGAAATATCCAATTCAAAATTTAATATTAGTGGGGCTGGAGATTTGGCTCAGCGGTAGAACGCTAGCCTTGCTCATGTGAGACCCTGGTTTTGATCCTCAGTACCACATAAAAAAATAAATAAGTGAAATAAAGGTGTTATGTCCAACTACAACTAAAAATAAATATTTTTTTAAAATTTAGTATTAGAGATTTTTCTTGACTTCTTTATTTTACATTTCTACCTCTTATTTATTTTCTTTTATGGCTTTTTATTTTGTTTCAAAATAACATTGATATGATTACATGCCTATTTTATTCTAGAATACATATTAAATAGTACATAAAATGAAACTTATTCATAGTCATTCCATGTTTATTTATCAATCAGAAACAAGATAAGTTATTTTAATGACTTTTATTTTCAGGAAGTTTACAGTTTCTATTTTCTAGTTTTGTTCCATTCATTAAAATTATGTGTTATTTGAACATTTTTATTTGCTTTATGTATTTAACACTATATAACCTTTAAAATCTATTTGTTCTTTTCCTCTGAATGATTTTCTGCGTGGTTGACGAGGCTGGGCTATAGAACTTATGGGGCTTTGTTTCAGAAGAAAGAACCTTCCTGCCATGATGGTAATTATTTATGTAAGCTCCAGTGGTTCTGAAAGATTTGAGGATCAACAGACTTTTGGTATTAAACCGTTTGAATTTTAGGTATCAGAACCTGAAAACTTGAGTGTCCTCATGCAAGTGAGAGTCTGAGTTTGAGTGTAGCCGCTCTTACTGGGAGAAACATTTTCCCAGATTTGAGGGTCTTTCATTGAATAGATAATTCTTTGTGTGTGTGTGTGTATGTGTGTGTGTGTGTGTGTGTGTGTGTGTGTGTTTTATTGGTTGATCAAAACATTACAAAGCTCATGACATATCATCTTCCATACATTTGATTCAAGTGGGTTATGAACTCCCAATTCTGATAGCTCATCCTCAGTTCAAATCATATAGGAAATTTCTATCAGTGAAATATAACATCATTTAACAATACATTTAATGGCAAACCTGGTCTGTTAGGAAAGGGAATGTTTAGGAAACAGAAAAAGAAAGTGGAAAATCAAACTGTAAACAATCATGTTTATACAAAAACAGTGGAGATGGGCTTTAAGATCCAGAGATAAAGAGAAACTTGGAGTTTAATGTCCTGTGAGGGCAGAAATTGTGGCCTTCAGGCAATAACAGATATGAGTTGGAATAGAGTCTCTAGTTGGTTGAAACACAAGAACCAGTACAAGGATAGGGTTTAAACATGAATTTACTTTTTTGTTGGTTTATATTGCAATTATGATGACAATTAGTCCAGTTGGACTTCACTGGGGGTAACTGACCAAAGCAAATACAAAACTACCACCATATTTCCCTGTGAAATTTACATAGAAAAAAAGGTCATTGAAAATGAGCATATAATTTTATAAATGGTAAAAATACATGAGGAAACAATTCACAATTGGAAATAGACTTCAGAAACAATTAACAGTAAAGAACACTTCATGTTCTTTTGAATAAAAAAATTACAAAATGGTTATGATTATAATAATTAAACAAATGAAAAAGAAGATATTGCTGAGCATGGTGGCTCAAGCCTATAATCCTAGCAGTTTTGGAAGCTGAGGCAGGAGAATTGCAGTTTCAAAGCCAGCCTCAACAACTTAGCAAACTCTAAGCAACTTAGTGAGACCCTGTCTCAATTTTAAACAAAATAATTAAAAGGGCTGGGGATGTGGCTCAGTGGTTAAGCCTTCCCATATATAATCCCCAATAGTGGGGGGCGGGTGCGGAGAAGAAGGAGGAGGAGGGGGGCAGAGATACTAAGCCTTAAAGAAGTCAACCAGTTGAAAAAGGGAAGTGTCAAAGAGTCAGATGCATCTTGTAGCCATGAAAAATATAACTAAAATCAAAGAGACAAACGGATGGACATTATACAAAGGGCTCAAGAAGCAGGGAACATGGCAAAGAGGTCTAATACATAGCCAACACATGAGACTCCTTGCCAAAAGAATTACTAAAAGGGTATGTCAGGAAGAAGAAAATTGGACCCAGACAGAAGAATTCAAGAACCAATGGTAAGCAAAAAT